AAGTTTCAGCTAATGAGCTGCCATCCATGATGAGATGTCTAACAGACATGCTGAAATCTGAACAAAAACCATGTGTGTCTGAGGGAGGGAAGGAAAAGATTGAGTTGAGTGTCATCCACATAGCAGTGGTATGAAAACTCATGAGAAGATATGACCGCACCAAGAGATTGAGTATAGAGGAAGAACAGAAGAGGAACAAGTACTGAGCCTTGTGGTACACCAGTGGAGAGTCTGCGGGGAGCAGATGTGGATCCCTCTATATCACCTGATATGACCGACCTTCCAGGTAGGAAGCAACCATTGCCATGCTGCACCACGAATTCCTAGACTCAGAGTGACTTGAGGGTGGACAAAAGAGTCTTGTGGTTCACTGTGTCAAATGCTGCTGAAAGGTCAAGGAGGATGAGGACTGATCACAGTTTGGCTGATCTAGCAGCATGTAGCTTCTCATTGACGGCCAAAAGGGCAGTCTCTGTGGAATGTGCTGCTTTGAAGCCAGACTGGTTAGGATCTTGTAGGTTGTTCTGTGAGTGATAGAGAGACAGTTGATTGTAGACAGTTCGTTCGAAGGTTTTATCTAAGGTGTCTATATTGTGGTCCTCACTTACATTATAGCAGCTATAAACAGTCGTTCCCTCACAAGCCTCTTTATTTTACTCTCTCACAAAGTTAATAAGACAAAACTAAAATGCAGCTTGTCATGTTACAGAAGAAACCGTGAAGCATAAACTCCTCTGTCCTGAAGATGTCGGAAAACTTAGTTACAACTCTACCTCTGACTGTTACAAAGCGCCGACACTGGAGACTCTTTCCATAAATGTTAAATAAACGTCTCCTTACAGACAAATTTACCAAGATGCTAAGTAACAGCCAATGAATGTATTAGGGAAGATAAAAAAGTGTTAATTTCTTTGCTTTCTTTCTTTTTTCCTACGTGTATGCTAACTTTTCCATTTCAGTATATTGTGGCAACAATTTAATAATTGTAAAAGACATTATTCACAATAGTAAATAAATAAATATACATGTATGCATGCTTATATTAATAGACATAATTTTCCATTCTTGATTTTTCACTTTGTTGATTTTGGAGATGCATTAGAGCTCACCTGACAGTAACGGTTACTTCCAGAGACGGATTTGGGACCTTGCAGTTTCCAGATGCTGAGGCTGAGACAGTGAATGAAGATTGGTCAGGAGGAGGAGGGATGTTGTATCGCAATGAGAACTAGAAGAAAAAAAATACACCATTAGCACAACTCATCCTCCTTTCAGTCATATTTAAACCCGAGGAACTGATGCGAGTAAGTAAAGTGGGAAAAGGTGATATACCAACCTGCACGTACACACAGCCTTTCCCTTCTGCTTTGATGTTGTAATCTCCAGTAACCTCCTGCAGCTGACTCTCCTGATACAGCAGCCTGTTACTCTGAGTGATGGTAAATGTGGTAATCATCCCTGATGGTGATGTTATAGTAACAGTAACGTCTCCTGCTGGACTGTAGGTGGCGAGACTGTATTTCGCCAGAGCCTGGAGAGCCACCACAGTGTCCTAGATGATGGAAAAGAGTATACAAAGAACAAAAACATGATCAATGAACAATAATAGCTTTATTTTTAGAATTTATGATAAAAATATTAATAATTAAAAGTACAGTAATAAAAAAGTACTGAGTTTCTTTATTTGTCTACAATTAAATAATATAATGTTTTTTATTAAAACTTGTTAATTTTTTATTTTTAAATTTGGAAACTTTCATGGTGCTGGATTTACCCAGAATATAAATATATATGGGGAGGGCTAGATTTTGGGACACACGTATAGTTAATAGAATAAATTCATAAAGTAATATATATATAATATAGTCCAGTTATTCCTTTCATTTCACTGTTCAATTCGGTACATTCTAAAAACTTGTTACATAAGCTATGACATAGCTGTTATTTTTTTAATAGCATTTGTGCAATAATTAGCAAGTGCTATAAGTGTGTTTTTGTGGAAAAGCTGTGAAGTTACAGGGGGAAATGCGTGCAAACTGTTAAAGTATGTGTTGAAGATTTGTACCTGTGTAGACGCGAAGCCCCCAAAGGCGTTCTGCTGCTGAGAAAGCCAGTACACGATGCTGGAGCTGTAACCCAGATCAAACCCGGACAGCTGGGGTCCAGACATCAGAGCCAGAAGCACATACGAGGTCATCTCCACCTCCAAAGAGTCCGTCACTGACCCATCATTCACTCTGCTCCAGTGCCTCCCGCCCCCTGAGGGAGATATTGGAGAAATACTGAAGCCACTGACTCAAGGTTCTCCAATGAAAAAGTCTGAATGTGCTTGTACAGTGTACATTTTCATATGAATGCTTTCTGATTGGGATAGATGGCATACTCTCTCTCCGGTCAATCATAGCAACACTAGCTAGTTGTTGGTGCCTGTGAGCTCATGTATGTAGAAGAGGGTAGATAGCACTTTCCTCTGAGTGTGTTATACTGCCCTGTGATGCAGCATGAGCGAGAGTTTGATTTAAAAAAAAAAAACATGCAGTTGGTTGGCTTCACATGTCAGCGGAAGCATGGGTTAGACTTCACTCTCTCTGCTTATTAGATGTCTTATGATAGGAGGGAGCTGGCTGGTGGGTGAGAATTGGCAGGTGACCAAATTGAGAAGAAAACAGGGAGGGGAAGAAATTCCAGTTTAGATACAGATGCAGCTATTCAGAGCACTAAGCAGATGCAGATAGTGTTACATCATTATTAAATATTGGCCTACACATGTACAGTGACTTGTGTCAGTTGTTGGAGAATGTAGTGTCAGTTTTTTCTGATTGGTGTTCTGATAGACAGATGTAGGAGCATCAAACCTGAGATTATGGCCTTTGCATTCAGAGCTGAGATGAGGGTGTTTCTCATCCCTTGATCTCCAGCTAAAGTGAAGGTGTAGAAAAGGAGAGCGCTGGCGTAGGTGGAGTCAACCTGACTGTATGCATTCCTCAGGCACTCTAGACTCTTGCTCACCACCGGATCCTGCCATATGCACATTAACACGTGTATATCATGATTCATTAATGGGAGATAAATCAACATCTTTGCACCACAAAATTCATGTATAAAAATAAAAATCTAAGTTGTCAATTTCTTTAGGTTTTGTTTACAATAAGACATTCTCAAAGAAAAGGAGTTAAATCTGCATTTGTTTTTTGTTAATATAAAAGATCAGACATAAAATCATCTGAAATTGACTCAATGCAGTGTTTTTTTTTAAAATAGAAAACCTTTTTTTCCCTTTGTTAATTGTTGAAAAACTGATTAATTTACTTAGTTTTAATTAGTTTACTCACTGTAACTGTATAATTGATTTCCAGCATTGCAGCCGTGATGTACGCTGAGAGGGTCACCTCATCATTCACTCCTCCCTGAAAGAGAGAGAGAGAGAGAGAGAGTGCTGTAACTAATTTATCAGATATCTTCAGAGCAGAGAAGTTTGCGTTTTTGTGGTTTCTTGGTAACAAACTGTATAAATGGGAGCAATTTGTTTAACAAACATTAAATGTAACTAAAAACAGATAAAAAAAATTGTGATATTTAATACACATAGCAATGCAATTGCACATTTCAGTGTTATAAGAAGAATAAAACACTCCGGGATGTGCTGTTATAGGAAAATAATCAACTTTAAGGCTGTAGCAATTATTCCATTTCATCATATCACCGGTCATTAATTATTTTCCTCTAACAGCACGTGGTATTGGACTCGGACTGGTCTCCTGACCTTCATGTCGGTGTGGAAGAGTTGTCCCACTGAGGCAAAGCATCCGTTAGCCTGCTGCTGTTGACCGAGCCAGGCCTTCGCCTGATCCACAAACACCTGATCTACAAAGATGTATCGCTTCGCATTTCCAAAAGACTTCATCACGAACGCCGTCAGCCTGAGAACACAAACATGGAAGTAGAAAACATTACAGGACTCTTTTGTGCATCAGGTGTCAACTTAAATGAATTAACTTTATATATAGATAACATCAGATTAATTACATGTAACTGAATGAACGTGTAACTAAATGCTAACAATCAGCTGAAAGCAGGTTAGTGTGTGTAAATTGATCCACCAAGAATTTAAATAAGCTATTAATGTAACTGTATTAGCATTTATGGAAGGAGTCGCTAGTGTCAGCGCTTTGTAACAGTCAGACAATATAGCGAATATAACAGTGAGAACAGGAACTTGTTTCGTAGATGGATTTACCTGTAAATGGATAAAAAGTATGATGTGTCATTCATATTCTTTAATAATTAAAATTGCAATTGTTGGCAAATTAATTGTGGTATAAGAGGTTTAAAATTGTGGTATAATAGGAATAAAACTTCAGGGTGGTAAGACTAACTCCTTTTCATCACACTACACTGTCACTGATTATTTTACAATAACAAAATGACACATTATTACTTACATGACCACCAATTTTTAGACTCTGTTCTTCCAGGTTGTTAATCTTCTATCACTATGACCCTACTCTGTTCATAATTACGTAAAATCTATATATAAATATATTAATATATTAAGCATTATGATTTTAAAAAAACACCCTGCTTTGAAATTTTAAATGTTAGACATTCAGCAGGTGATGCACAAAAAGTATGTTTGAGTGCTGGTTTATCAAAAAAAAAGAAAAAAGGTTGCTTGTTTAGTTTCAGTTTTTTACCATGTGTTGCCTGATGCATCGCTCATCCCAAAAGCACTGTAAGATCCATCTGTGTGTTTGTAGGCCAGCTCTCCCTGATATCCTGTGTAGGAGATGAGCCAAACAAGGAGTTGTGTAATGTTAATGCAATGTATGTCGTTCCTCTTTCAGCTGCTCCCGTTAGGGGTCACCACAGGGGATCATTGGTCCACGTATTTGATTTTTATACCAGATGCCCTTCCTGACACAACCCTTACCAATTTTATCCAGGCTTGGGACTGACATTGAGAGTGCACTGTTGCACACAACCCCAGTGGCTGGGGTTGGTTCCTTGGCCAGGAATTGAACAAAAGCCGCAGTGGTGAGAGCACTGTGGCCTAACCACTAGTCCTCCAGGGACCCATGTTATGTATGTATATTATTTTATTCAAATTTGCCAATTCCCCACCCACTATCACAGTCTTAGGAAGGGCTCTGGCTTCCAAACTGAGACTTCAATCCCCATAAAGAGAGAAAGGAAAGACAAAAAGGTCATTGATTTTCAACCAAGCAATGACTGGAAGCAGGAATCATTGCTGACATGCCTCTGAGGGCAACAGATATATAAATTCCAGAGAGAAATTAATGAAATGAGAGAATTGGATGAACACAAGACTAGTACAGTCATCAAAAAATAAACTATTCAAAAAAATCTTTTTTTTTTTTTTTGTTATACTATTTTTAGGCATTTTGTCCACTTAAAAGGATCAGTAAAAGGGGCAGGTAAAAAGGGACACTTTAAGGAGGAATGGTAGAGGAGGGGATGTCAAAAAGGTCTCATTTGAAACACTCGGAGTTCTCACCGCTCACGAGGTAGGTCTCAGCTGTGCTCCTGATCTGAGGTGTGAGCTGGTTGGTGCTCTCCAGATACTGCAGGATGAAGATGTTGGGGGCGAAGAGCAGCATGTTTTGCTCTCCACAGCCGTACGGCATCGCCAGGAGACTCACCAGGTTCCGTAGAGCTCGGCCCATCAGATCTCCTACAGCGAAAACATTATTCAAAGGCATTTTTCTTTCCAAATGCAACTGGATATTTGCTTGTGAATTAATGCATGTCTGGACCATTACCTCTTTCAGGGAAGATTTTTAGGTTTAAAGCTAGAACCCTTTAAAGGGGGAGAATCATAGCCTTGGAGGTGCTAATTTTCAACCCAGCCACTTCACATTCAGCAGCAAAATGTTCAAGTGCATGTCAGAGGTCCAATTCAGATGCTGCCAAATGAACATAATCTTCAAATAATAGGGATGTTATTTATAGGCTCCCATACCAAAGACCCTTCCAGTCTTGGCTGTGTCTTGATATCCTGTCTATGAAAGCCACAAACAGAAGTGAAGACACACAAGTGAAGGTAGAGTTCAGCACTCCCCTGCAATTGCTTAACATAGTGGTTTGCTATAACATCTTTAGGGCCACCCAAACCTCATCTGGACTCCCCAAATTCCCCCCATGGCCAATTTTTCATTCTCAATTGTTAGCATTTCTCTGAAGGTCTCCTTCAACTTGACAGCTTCCTCCACCACCACTTCCTTGGGTTACCACCAGGCACAGACAGCCTTTCAGCCATAGCAGTTACTCCCAATCACACCCTTCCAAGGAGCACCACTATTTCCAACATGAGCATTGAAGTCCCCCAGGAGCACTATGGAGTAGGAAGTACCCTCTAAGTGCCTGTGCCACCTTCTCCAATATGACTTCAAGAAGAATACTCTGAACCATTACTTGGTTTTATGGAATAGTTCAGTGTGGGCCCAACTGCAGTGTGAAAACCCCTGCTTGCTTATAAATAAATGGGTAAGCAGGGTTTATTTATATAGGTAAGGTGAAGGTTTAGGAAAGGGTTGTTGGGTGTGTTCTTGTGCACGTTGAAAAAAAAGCCCCAAGTAGGGCTTGACCCAGGGATCTCTGTGCTATACAATCCCTGGGCCATATACACTAAAATATAAAGTACACATATATATTAATTAGAGAGATATTTCTTATCTGTTAATACTCTTTCAATTGTGTCCTCTATCTTTGTCTTTGGTTCTTTCTCTTTTTCTGGCCATGCGTTAAATCTCTCTTGACCCTTGTTTCCTCCACTTTCTTCCTGCTTTTCTTTTCAATATCTTTTCTAATTCTGATTTTACTTTTTCTCTTCTTTTTCCCTTTAATGTTTATCTCAGGCAAAACCCTGACATACCATACCAGTCACACCTCTACAAAGGTGCAACGAAGGGCTGTGTCAAAGGCTGGCGTTAAGTATCCTGGCTGGCAGGTGCAGGCAATCCAGGTTAATCAGCCTGGAGGATTCTGGGCAACTGAGTTCTCCTGAATGGCTGTGCTCACTGTGTACCACTGCTGCCCTCTGCTGGCTGCCGGTGGTGTACTTCAGCCTCTTACATTTGGTATTCAGTATTTTCAGTATAATCATTATAAACTGTACTTTCCTTCCTGACACTCTAGAGGCCATCAGCATGGGACAAGTATTGCCTGTGGGGACTCCTGCAGGGATACCGGAGTAGGAGAATGACCACCCCCCAATCCCCCAACTGCGAACTTTGGTACTGAAGCTTTTATTGTGTGTGGATGTAAGGCTGACTATTTACTGTATCTCACACACTAATCCAGGCTCATTCCCTGCCAGCAAAATGACATTCCACATTCCCAAATCAAATTTCCATTGCAAGGGTCTAGTCTACATAAAAGTCTAGACTGTCTATCACATGCCTTCTGCCCAATTGGCATTGCACCTGAACCCTGTATCTTGCAGGTGGTACAAGATCAGAGTCCATCTAGGTTATGTGGGTGGTCTGCTCACCAGATGCTCAGCTGCAGACACCACCTCTAGGCATAGCTGCTTCCATCATAGGATTTTGATGGAAAATGATTTTTTTAAAAAAACAAGAATTTTGATCTCTAAGTGATTGATGGAGTATCTGACTACAATTTGTTTTTCTTCTCATTTGTATTTTGAGCTGTTAAATTGAAATCTATTATAATATATTTTTTACACATCATTTGCCTCATTTATAAACTTGATTTGATGATGTATTATATTCAAATGCTATTAAAATGGTCCAAACTGATGAAACAGGAGCAGTTCTTCAACTCACCCAGCACAGAGACTGAGGCTATGGCCGAACCATCCACGAGCACTGCAGGCAGGCTCAGTGAGACCATCTTCTCAGCAACTCGATCTACCAGAACAAAAGCCAAGGGGAAAACATGTGGTACAAACTGCACAAACCCAGTGTTTAGTCCTTGAACAAGACCCTTAAACTGTCAGCTGTATGCTTGGATCATATCATGTCAAACATTCTTTGATTAATGAGAAATAAATGTCATGTAACCATATACAATTAACCACATGCCTCCTCCTGAGCAATGGTGCCTAATTCCAAATAATCTGAGCAATGAAATCATAAATGGTACTGACAATCTAAATGATCAGTGAACAATTATAAAACACAAATGACAATATGAATCAGATGTTTAAATATTATAAATAAGGTGAAGGTATGAAGTGTGTCTGACCTGGACAGAGAAGCTCATTGTAGCTTTTATATTGTTTTGTTCCCTCAGCCTGAAAATGGCAACAGAATAATAATCCAGTCATAATCACAATTACATTGTCAATCATAGGGCTGTATTCAGAGCAACAACCTAAGTTCAAAAGATATGTCAATATCTATGCAGGGACGTTCCTTGAGTTGAGAGTTTTCAATAGCATCTAGACTACCAACTTTAAGCACTTGCTTTAAGCTGTAAAAAAAAATCAGGGATAGAAAATGTGGACTGAAAAAGTGCATCACACTGAACACCTGAACAGAAGTTAAGTGCAAAGTTTAATCTGACAACTCTGAATATGGACCAAAATCACATCTATCAAGCCAATTATGTCTGACCACACCCATCTACTTACAGAGCCCCTAAGGGGACATGCTAATGGGAAAAAATATGAGATGGGAGGAAAATTTCTATTTCAACGCTTGCAAAACCTTTGTGTTCCCCTGAGAAACTTTGCGTTTGCTCGCAAAACTTAAAAACGACTTATTTGCATTTGCGAGAAAACGCAAATATCTTTGCAAGAAAACACAATAAACTGCGAGAGAAAGCAAAGTTTCTTGGGGGAACGCAAAAGTTTTGCAAGCGAACGAATAGTTTCTCAGGTGAACGCAAAAGCGTTGAAATAGAAATTTTCCATCACCATGTCCCCTTAGCGGCAACGTATCTACTGCAACAAAATGCATTCTACAAAAAAAAAAAAAAAAGTCATTATAATTAAAATGAATACAGATTCCACTGTGTCGTGAATAATCGTGAATAGACTGAACAATTATTATATAATTATATAATTAACCACATTCTGTGTTCTTTTATACATTTAATATTAGTGTTATGCTATACCTGTATATATTTTGTCCAGTATATATTTTTCTACCATGTTTAGTAAAGGTGCCTCAAAAATATTTGTTCTGTAGACAAGAGGAATGCAAATATTTTACAGGTGTACATTTGAAAAATTAAACGAGTGGTTCTCAGAGCAGGATCTGTGGGACTTTTTTAGAATTTTGTTAAGGTAGTGAAAATCACAATACACCACTATCAAAGTCATATTTATTACTGAGTACTATTGAGTTTTTTGTTTTTGCCTGTTTGACTGGTCATTTGAATTGATTTGGGTTTAATTCAAACTTCAGTAAATATTAACTTGGACCTAATGTGTCCTGTGAATGTGAGTTCTGAAATAGTTTCATAGCTCCAAGAAACAAACAATATTACTGTAAGCATTTAAATAATGAGCTTAATACTTGAATAGTTGGATTATGTTCACAAAATAAATCTGTACTGAGAAATGTATTTTACAGTTCAAGAGGTCCCTGACTGGATTAAACGTTATTAGTAGTAATAAGGTAATCACCTGCACTAGCAATGTTTTAATGACCATGTCGATGCGTCCTTTCTCTGGTACAGTAACTGGACTCACACCACACAGAGTCGACGACTGCATGGCCTCCGCCGTCACATTGATGCTCACCTCTCCTATAACACACGCACACACAGTTGAAATCACTAATTATACTCTAAAGCTGGAGCATCCAATATTGATAATTGGATAGTTATAACACGTGATGCATCAGTCAGCTCTATAATTAGAACCGTTGGTAAAGGTAAAAAGGTTTTTTGTAAAAAAAAGTCTTTGTGGTTAATTAGGTCATGCTGAAAATCTGAGAGAAATCTAACCTTTAATGAGGAGAGAAAAATCTGAGAGAAATCTAACCTTGGCACCCCTAGAAATTCAAAATTAACTATTTGTAACTAAAGCATGTTCCCAATTTATATTTTACACTTTAAAGTTCAGGAAAAAGCTCTAGCAGGG